TTCAGATTTAAGAGTTTACAGCAACAGAGGTGCATTAAATTTAAAATCGACTCACAGTATTTTAAAGTAGAGATTTTCAAGCTTTCATTTGAAAAAAAGTTCATTATTTTACGATGATTTTTCGCGGAGTTACCGTTAACCAAAGTTGATCAATTTTTGCTCAAAATTTTTCTATGCCATAATTTTTTTGAGCAGTGTATATATATATATGTATATATATATATATACATATATACAATATTTACTTATTGGATCTTCGCACGTACCGCTCCTTCCGCCACGACCGTTGCACGTAGAGTGTAGAGTGGAATGTTACGGGAAACAGTGAAACAGCGCTCGTCGGCTTGCCGGGCTCGTGTCGTGTTGCGCTACTTGCGCTGTTGCCACTATTTATTTTCATGTGAACCGATGCGATCGGTAGATTTATTCGATAGATTTCAATCTGTTATTACAGAAATACGTGTATACGATAAGTACACATAGTTTTAATATTTGCCATGTCATTATAACTTGTATGTGATTATCGATTTGCATATATAAAAGACTAAATTTACTTATTAGTAAGACATAATATTATGTGGATGATTTAATTGAAAATCTGTCATCTTTTCAGTAATGCATTAAATACAATTTGTTATAACATTATTGTATGCATAAATTCGGACAATTGTAATAAACTTGTAAATATTATACATGAATAGAAAAATATGTTTTATATATATAATATCTTAAAATTATTTTGTAATTATCGAAAACTGCCTAATATTTACCCAAGGAGAACAGAAAGATCAAAATGACATCAAAATGATATCAAAATAAGATCAAATTTTAGTTTGTCAAAATGATGTCAAATTGCATAAATTTTTGATGTATTCTTGACCATTCCAATTTAATTGCTAAAATAAATTTGTTTTAATAATACAATAAATTTTATTAATTAGCATCATATACTAGAGAATGAAAAAAAATATACATAACAAAATTGTGATTAAAAAATACATATTTAGAAACTTATTTACGATATTCCTAAAGCGGTCACCCATCCAAGCTATGAACCTTGTGGAACGTGCTTAACCTTGTGATCGTCCGAGAACTGATGCTTCGATGATCCATAAACATTAATTGCTAATAAGAGTATACTAATGGTATATATCTTCTTAACAGATGTCAAAAAGATGGAATATGTGTTAGTTAAGATATATTTTATTCAGAAATATAAAGTTTGCATATAAAATATAAACAAATGTGAAAATTACAATTTTTACTAAGGCTTAATTTTTGTATAAGTTGCGAAATGGCATTTGAAATAAAGGAATTAAAAATAAATACTTGCCATATATACAATCAAGAAACGTTCACATTTTTCTAAAAATTAAAAAGATCGACACTATAAAAAAAAGTCAATATAAAGTCATTCTTTAGTCATTTGAAATCGAGATTTTAATCATGATGTAAAAAGTGACGTAAATTCGGTCAATTTGACGTCAAATTGATATTATTTTGACTTTTCTGTTCTCCTTGTATATACTGTGATCCAACTCAGTTGCACGTAACGATTCTCAGCACCGGGATTATGCCCGAAAATCTGCGCTTTTATAGTAATTAGTAGTGCTCGGAAAAAGAACCGAGTAATAAGAAAAACTGAGAACTACCCGCCCGCACGTCATTCGTCTCACACGGGTGAAAACCGATTTCGCGGGTATCCGTATCACGCGGGTAAATTTAGTATAATATAATTTTTTGTGTTTGAGTAGCGCATATTTAA